TTAAGTGTGTCAAATGCTTTTCAAAATTAATAAAAGACAAATAAGTTGTAGCTTACGGATGTTCACAAGCCCAAAATTACTTTTAAGATACAAGTTTGCAATGCAATCGCTGGATTTTGTACTTCGGATGTAAATGCATGTACCCTTAAATGGGACAATACTTTTTTGAAATAGGAAAGATTATATTTTCGAAGCTCCTGTATGACATCTGCATCAATCCAAAAAAAAATTTTAACAAGAAGAGGAGCTTGGTTGGTTCCATTAAGAATGTCGTTTGTTTATCAAAAACACATAACCCGACATAACAGATATGCTGTCAATAAAAATCAAGCTTCCTCATTATATAACTTTTCGATGAATGATTTGTTCCCCAACTTTCTATATAATGATCAATGCAACTGCTGGTTGACGTTTCATTCTTGTGTAGATCAACAGCTCAGAAGTCACCCCCTTGTGTCGCATGCACTATCAGTAATACGTCATATGTTGTGGATTCGTTAATGTCTTTTCACCTCACAGAATAATTTAATAATATATTGTCTAATAAAATATCACGTGGTGTGAATCGATTCTGATATTTTTGTCCAAATCGACAGGGCCGGTGAATAACCTCGACAAATTGTACACTCCGGTGGGTAACACTAGTATTCGACGTCAATGAGATTAATATTTGTTCGGTATAATAAAACAGTAACGACTCTATTTGTCGGAAGAAAACCCTCGGGGAAATAACCCTCAGTAGGGTTGATAATTTCTATTATTCTCCTCCTAAGAAAGCCGTAACTGCATATCATATTGAAATCCACGTTTGTGCTTAAAGAAACACTTGATATACCTATCAACGAAGCTTAACATATTCATTTTACCCAGTATTAAAAATCGTCGATTGCCCTATCCACGAAAACCACGTATGTTGTTAACCTACAAATATTGATGAAGCTACGGTGTTGTAAACTTGATGTTCAAAATTTTTAAGCATCATTCGAAATACATAATTTGTTTTTACTTCAAGTCATAATTTGGCATTTCTTTAATTTGAAACTAGAGGTTTTCCCTGCTGCTAAACTTCCTAGTTGACTTAAACTCTTAACTGTTTTGATGCAAGCGCCACTAATGAGTATGTACTAACATTTTTCGGGTATCTTTGATGACTTATTTTTGCCAACCGGTCTTTGTGTTAAAGTACTGAAGCCAATTTTATTTTTATGGCTTAGATATTTAGTAACAGTTCTCTCCAAATAAGTTACAATCGAAAGGAAATACCTATTTTTCCAAATCATTAAAGATTTAGTTATTGAAAAATTACTTGTTAAAGTTTGTAAATATTCTCTACAGTCACCCAGAAGATCAACTAACCTAGCAGTAACGGGCAATACCCTCTTTAGGTTATTCATAATAAGTCTATATTTTGGGTCAGACTATCAGAACAAAATAAATTCCTCAATAAAAAGGCATCTGGAGAGTTTAACAAATGTAACTGGTTGAGTAACACCTATACATTATTTGAAAATTTTAATTTTACACCAGAATATTTGTTAAATCACAAATTCTATATAAAGTCAATTGGTCCGAGAACACAGTTATCGTCCTTAGATTTTCGTTGTCTACAAATATAGTCCCTAGTGTGGACAGTGTATAACTTGCAAATTTTTTTCATACACTTTCCAAATTTATTTCTTTATATTTTATGCATGCAATAATAAGTAAAGGGATGAAATTACATGTTAAAAAGGTTTGGGTGCTGAATCTTTATGTTAAGTAGTGATTTGGTCCAGTTCAAAAAGGACAAAAACTAGTATGTCTGAAGCTGTCAACCTGAATTTTAGACCCCCTTAACATAGAATTGTCAATATTTTGAGTTAGAGATGGTAGACTTTTCTACAATTTTGATATTATTTGTCCCAATAGTAGTATACTAAACTGTACAAATCTTTTTGAGATAGAGCAGGTGCGATTTTTTTAATTTGAATTTATTGTCTAAAAGAAATGCACTACGAAATAACTGTGTTCTGGGGCCTAAGAGATGAATTCAGGAAATGTAGATTCTGTACTTTGGCAACTTCCCTGAATGGTTTACTGGTTTCAATTTGTCAAACTCAATAAAAGTAAAGGATTTAAATCTTTATTTGAAAGAAATTCTGTTAAAATGTCCCATTTTGGCATTATACGACTTAAATATGCATTTTAACGCAGTTTCCATTTTCAAGTCTAAGAGGCATGCTGACTTTCTATCTGACAGCTTTTCATGCTTTGATATTTGTGTTTCTGTGATTTATTCCAATTCTATTAACCATTTGTGAACTCTGAATATAGAGAAAAGTAGATTATCACAGAAAAAAAATGTCCAAAATGTGTTGTATTTGGGCCCTGGTCGAACGGCCTGTTTGATGTATGTGAAATGTGAAGAGCTTTGTGCATAAAATTTGTAGTCCATCATAAATATTTCACTAAATCTGTAAAAAAAAGCACTTGACACTGATCTGTGCACCTCATCCATTTCATATACTACCTTTATTGTCTTCTGTAGGATAGCATGTGGTTCAAATATATGCCAGTTGAGACTAAAACTACATGCAAGTTTTCCATTGAAAAGTGAAAAAACTGTGCATCAGACCATACTGTCTGCAAACAAAAATTGAATGCAAGAGTCCTTTTGCAATTAGACTTCTTGTATCATGACATCTTAGCATAGAAATGAGAAAAAAGTAACACATTTTCATTTCTTATAGCTTCTGTATGCAATTTTATATGTAAATATGTGCTACGGCCTAAATTGACTCTAAATAATGTTCAGTCTTACAAGGCCTAAGACCATTTTATACTCATGTGGTATGCTTTTTGTATCTTTTCTTTCCGTTTAAAGTACATTTAATATATATATGCAAGAATAATGTATGGTAAAACAACTTCAAAAACTTTAAATTGGTTGAAAAAAATGCATGTTTATGAAAGGCTCCCCTTAATTTTGAAAATCTCAATTTTCAGGCACAGGCTCATATAAATTTAACTTTTGAATAATTGTAATAAATCTGATAAATCAAATGAGTGTTCAGTTGTTTGTAATACTTAATATATTATATTTAAGAGCATTTAAAAAGCAAATTTTTGCAATATTTAAATTTTTCAAGCCTAAATCTTGATAGTTGAAATTATTTGATATTAAAATAGCCATTGTTTCTTTGATATATATCCTATGGCCATGAAACTTAGCCAACTATCTTATAATTCCCTAAGCTTAGGTCATGCACAGTTTTATTAGTATTGGACCAGTCTTTCTATACTATTAGGTCCGAGGACACAGTTATCGTCCTTAGATTTTCGATGTCTACAAATATAGTCCCTAGTGTGGACAGTGTATAACTTGCAAATTTTTTTCATACACTTTCCAAATTTTTTTCTTTATATTTTATGCATGACATATTAAGTAATGGGATGAAATTGCATGTTGAAAAAGTTTGGGCGCTGAATCGTTATGTTAAGTAGTGATTTGGTCCAGTTCAAAAAGGTCAAAAACTAGTATGTCTGATGCTGTCAAACTGAATTTTAGACTCCCTTAACATAGAATTGTCAATATTTTGAGTTAGAGCTTGTAGACTTTTCTATAATTTTTATATTAATTGTTCCAATAATAGTTCACTACAGTGTAAAAATCTTTTTGAGAAAGAGCAGGTGCGATTTTTTTAATTCGAATTTATTGTCTAAATGAAATGCACTACGAGATAATTGTGTTCTCGGGCCAATTAATAGAAAAAGACTCAGAATTAAATATGATTAGTTTGGTTATATCAATTAAAATAATGACAAACCTGGCATTGTGAAAGGAAATAAATTAAGAAGTTATACATGTTATAGGTTGTTTTTAAATGATATTGGTTTTGAAAAATATTTCACAGTTTATTATTCTATTGTGCTGTATTTGTGTTTTGTCGTTAATCAATTTAATTTAAGGTGTTCGTTCATATTCTGTGGTTTACATGTTGAAATGGACTATTATATTATTTATTTATGTATTTCTCTGTCCTGAATGTTCTTGCATTTATTTGTACTGTATTCCTGTCACGTAATGTTGTCATTTTAGCGGTATTTTTAACATTGTCATATAAGCGGGAGGATTGGCTAGCCATAAAACCAGGTTCAGCCCACCATTTTTTCTTAAAATGTCCTGTATCAAGTCAGGAATATGGCAGTTGCTATAACATAGTCCGTTTTTATGTATGTTGGCGTTTTGTTTTGTAGCAGTTCAGTGTTTCTGTTGTTCCGTTTTGTTTCCTCTTATAGTTGATGTGTTTCTCTCAATTTTGGTTTGTGACCTGGATTTGTTTCAGTTAAATCGATTAATGACTATTGAAAAGCGGTATATTATTATAGTCTTTTTCTATTAAAAAAAAATGTAAAAAAATTAATTAGTTAACCAAATTTGGAATCATTGCTCATTGACTTGAAATAGAAAAGGGAAGACACAACGGAATACCTTTAAACAACATATTTTGTAAATTACGTTACAATGACATTGTGGAGGGTGAAGTTCATGACTTCTTCGATGTCCGTCGCATAAAACTAAAAGGGTCCGGTTTCATTTTAGTTCTATCATCCTAATTTGCTGACAAATCAATAATTTGTTGGTTGATGTCGAAGGAAAAATCAATAGATAATTTATAGATAGTGTAACTAAGATTAGAAATGTAAACTTAAGTGATAGGTCATGAGTGACCCACCAGATCTTTCTTAAGTAGTACAACGGTACTGACTGTGTTCACTCACTCATTATCTTTGGGAATACACTGTTTGTATTGTCTCCCTTTTAACATATAGTGATACATTTTGGTTTATTGTAATTTTAAATGAAAAAAACATCACAATTATTTGTATACTTTGATTAAACTGTAATTGTTCTGCTCCTCAAGAGGTCTGACATACAACAATTGTTATTGTTGTTACCATCAAAACAGTTTTCGGAAAAGATTTAACACACATACTTAATGTGTATGTTTATTTTACAGATAGAAGATGGCAAGTCGGCAGCTAAATCAGGTAGGTTTTACTCAGATGAGAGACATCTTATTATTCGTATTTGTTATAAAGCGTTATCCTTTTTCATTAAAATAAAAATTAGTCATATCGTATTCCGAATTCAGGTTTTGACGTAACATCAGTTTTATTACAATTTACTAGAGTTTATACACCTATTCAATATATCTCATTTATAAAGTGTCGTGTTCATTCCATAACATTATGTTCGCTGCTTCCTATTATCGTTATTGTTATTTTACATACTATTAAACAGAGTATCATGGTCAAATATAATTAATTTCATGATCCTTTCAACATGTTGTTGAATGCTGTTCAAATGATTACTCTGCTTTGTGTATTTTGTAAACATTTGAAATGCATGGTTGCCTTAATCACAACATTTTTTTGTTTAAAGCTTAGTTAACGCAAGTGTTTGAAGAAACAGGTTTTACGTTTATGTTACAAAGATGTGGACCATTACAACTTTTCAAGCATTATTAGTCCTAGTTAGATTTTGAGATGTTCATACTTATCACCACTCCTAACAATTAATTTCTTCACATTATTGTAATTTGAAACAAATCAGATTGGCTATATTTCTATCGTATTAACGAAACATGTGCCAATCAATCCTGACCGTTTGAACTACCAGTGAAGGTCATTAGAATGTATTGCATGTTTGAATGTATGGCTTATTACATGGATTGGTACCTGTCAAATATGTTCTAGTGAATACTTTCGTTACAAAGTAGTTAGTGAACAGAATGGCTTGTAGAGATAACAATGTGGTTACACATGTGATGTATGTCAGTGATTAAGTACGTATACAGCCTTTACGATATTTGGATTTGAGCGTTCCTGACGAAGGTAAATTCAGAAAAGCGTTTCAGATCCATCCCATTTTTATAATGCTACTTTAAATGTTAATTGATACGATATTCATGATTTTCTTGATAGAGGGTTGCTGCTCTTAAGGAAGCTTTTAAACCAAGAGTTCCAAACAGTGAAGTTGAAATCATCCCTTCGTAAATTTTACGGACGCCATCACGACTTGGTTGACCGTTATGGAATATCCGTTTCACAGATGATAGCGGATATGTTCCTAATGTCGTAACTACAATCCCGTTCCCTTTTCACGAATATGACCTACCGAATTAGACTGTTTACCGGGTTTGTACTAACATGAGCAACACAACGGGTGTCACATGTGGAGCAGAATCTGCTTACCCTTCCGGATCACCTGAGTTCACCCCCAGTTTTTGGTAGGGTTCGTGTTGCTTATTCTTTATTTTTCTATGTTGTGTTTTGTGTACTATTGTTTGTCTGTTTGTCTTTTTCTTTTTTAACCATGGTGTTGTCAGATTTTGTTCGATTTATGAATTTGAATGTCCCTCTGGTATCTTTTGCCCCTCTTTGAAAGTATTTTGTGAACATTTGACAGTCTCAAAAGTACAATCCTAATTTTTGAATTGGGGTAGTTCTTAAAGTGTTCTGATTTGATTGAAAACCACGTCACGAACACCGCAACAAGTGTTGTTTCAAACTTTTTATCAACCTAATTATGTAAATCATAAATTTTCTGACAATTTTCAAAGGTTATGATTAAAACCGAATGTGACTCATCACTAGGCTATACATGGTGAGACAAACACCGGGTGTCACATGTTAATTAGATGCATGTTGTCCATTCAGACTATTTGATGTAACTTAACGTTTTTAATTAATTTCACTTCACTTCTTTGTCTAATATTATGTTTTATTTTATTTGTCAGTTTATTGGTTGTATATTTTGGATAGCGTGTTACATTTGAATAAATTGTTACGGAGACGATTTGAATTCTGCAATGGAATAAAAGTTCATATAAAGTTTGACAGTTTTGGACTTGAAGTTCGACGACAATGTTATACCAATAGCATTATTATATCCATAACATATAACTAACTCGAATGTTTGCTAATAACTACGTTTTAATCCAATATTTACAATATCTACAATCATTTCGTATTACAATTTCACAACATTGTTTTCTATGTTAACTTATTGCATGATAAAGACGAACTGTTTACGTCTGCAACATTGGACATAAAATTTTAGACTCATTTAACCTGATTCCGAGAGATGATCAAAACAAAGTAATTAAATCACCACAGCTGCATTGCAGACGACTATTATTTAAACTCTAAATGACTAGGCTGACCTACTGATGGTGTCATAAAATTTAGAAATCCCGTTAAGATTAACGATTAACTTTCTACACTGAAATAAACTCTTTGGAAAATACTGTTATCATTAACTAAATTAAGCAGACGAAAGTGTAACTTTATTTCAACATAATTGTATTGAAAATTAACGATTGAAATAAACTTGCAAAAATGTAAGTGCAATTAATAAAAACGATTTCTACTCTATTCAAAAATTATAACTAAAAAAAAAAAAAAACAATCATACTAATAAAACCTAAAAACTATTGTCTTCAATCCATAAATGAATGTAGAGATTTTAACTGAATTTACAAATTGTATACTGACATGGAATTTATTTGTAAGACTTTTCATTAAAAAAAAAGCAATATCATATTATCTCAAGCAAAATATATATCATAATACAAAAAAAACCATTGATTTTATCGATTGAAAATTAATACAAATCTTCTAGAAAAGGAATATAACCCACATAATTGATCACGAAGATTTCATTGTCATTTAAACCATTTCCAGTTGTCTGTTGTAATATATGTTGAATATTAAACCCAGATAAAAATGTCCGTTCTAGCTTTAATTGTTCGAAAGAATTGAGAATAGAAACGGGGAATGTGTCAAAGATACAACAACCGGACCATAGAACAGAAAACAGACCAAGGTCACCATGGGGTCTTCAACGCAGCGAGTTACGCAACACTTAACTGCGAAATATATAAAAGATACATAAATGTCCATAACGTGTCCTGTTTTAGGTATACAATGCTTGAGTGATCACTTCTTTTAAACAAATATTTATCTTTATTATTTTTTACTCAGAATATTTGAATTTTGAATAACCAATATGCTCCTTACTTCACATATGCAGTTAAACGAGTATTTCTTCCTTCCTGTTCATTACGTAATTGGCAATTTTACATGTGAAAATCCAGATTCTACAATACGCATCATTTTTCTTAATACGTTTGTTTAGCCTTACCTGACTTTATATCTAATTGCAGCAATTATCAGCTGTTTATCAATTAAATCAAACGCTATCCAAGCATTGGCAGTTAGTCAGGTCATTTATGTCTTCTTTGATTCTATAAAGGTTACATCCCAAACGTTCAGTTTTGGGAAATACAAATAGATTATTTTGGCTTTTTTTACATATGTTTTAAAATAACGAGTTCCCCCAACTTTGAAAACTAATACTTCTGATACTGCCCTAATAATAAATTTAATTTATTTAAAAATACAGGTTTCAACGTGAATCGGACAATCACTTAATTAATTAAGATCAACATCATCACATTTATGACATTTTTAAAAAACATAATAGAGCGTTCAAACAAATTGTTTAAAATCTTTTGTTGGGCTTTTTTTTATTGCAAATGATAAGATTAATGATTAGATATATCACTTTTTATTTGGATATTTTTATTCTTCATTTGTATTCCTGTCTTTATGATTTCTCTCACAGGACGGTGAAGGGAAGGGTTTGCTTATTAATCCCAATTATCTCAGGTCACTATCAGTTTCTGTTGGATTTTGTGTTGCTTAACCTTTAGTTTTCTTTGTAGTGTTGTGTAGCCTTGTTTTTCTTTCCATAGTTTTCCTTTGTTTTGCCATAGCGTTGTCAGTTTCTCTTTGACTTACAAAAATGTATTAGTTTTGAATGTCATGTTGTTTAATGACTACTCTTTATATAAACTACATTTTTGATGATCAGCAGCCTTTGTATATTTTGAACCTCGTTCAACTGCTGTTGCCGTTATTTGTCATAGTGAAGATAAAATAAACATTAATAACACGCGTTGATATAATTTCAAATGGATATTCTGTTTTTATATCATTTAAAAAATGATATTGTAGCACACTTGTCGGACGTTGTGTTTACTCTAATCATTGACTTTAATGCATATGCAGCAAACGTAAGACATATCTCAAACAAATGAAAGATTGTGAATTGGAAACCAATTGATGTACAGGTGAATTGTTTGAAATTTAATAGGAATTTTGTTTGCGAGTAAATACTGTTTTACTCTGAACATCTCTAGTGTGTACAAAACTTTAAGGATAAAGTATGAAATGCTAAATCTGTCAAGCTGAAAATAAATGCTCTACGTTTAGGTAGTCTATACTATTTATTAGAAAGACCAGTAAAAATATCGGCAAATATTGCATTTGTATTAACAAAGATAGAAACAAAATACATTTGATACTATTGTTCAAAAACAATTGTTCTGAATTAAGAATACTGGTTAAATGGAATATACCTGTTTTTTTTTCTAACAGGCTCTCCGTGACGCGGCTAAAGCCGGAGATTTAGAAAAGGTCAGGAATTATCTTGCCTCTGGTGCTGAAATTAACGCTGGACACTGGGTGAGCATAATATCAAAGACAGCTGAATAAATCAAATAAACTGTATTGCACGATAACAAGATAACAAGCAATTGACAAATAATGAAAATAGAATTAATCTCCATTCTTCCCATTAATTCATCTATACTTCTAGTTTTTTTTTTTAAATTTCGATGTTCTTGTGATCAAATGGTGATTGAATATAATAACGGTCATGACTTGCAACAGTCGCTTGCGAGCGTAAATGGGGTATAGAAACAAATTTTAATTGAGTTAAGTCTTCCAATTGATATTTTATAGTGTGTCTTCCTTTGTTGTGATATTATACTATTGTTTCAGAAAAGGGAGAAGGTTTGACACCATTAAAACGTTTAATCCTGCAGCAAATGTTTGCACCTGTTCTAAGTCAGGAATCTGATGTACAGTAGTTGTCGTCTGTTTATGTAGTTCATACGTGTTTCTCGTTTCTCGTTTTTATATAGATTAGACCGTTGGTTTTCCCGTTTGAATGGTTTTACACTAGTAATTTTTGGGCCCTTCATAGCTTGCTGTTTAATGTGAGCCAATACTCCGTGTTGAAGGCCGTACCTTGACCTATAATGGTTTACTTTTATAAATTGTTACTTGGATGGAGAGTTGTCTCATTGGCACTCATACCACATCTTCCTATATATATTTAGTTAATTCAGAATAGCAACACAATTGTTCTTATTGTTTCTCTATTTTTTAAGAATCAATATTGACTGAGTTTTCTGTAACTAACTGGTTACTACACAAACATTAATGTCAAATGAAGGAGTTGGATTTTACTGCGTTCTCCTCAATGACCATAAGTATTCGTCACCCACAATGTTTTTTTTTTTATATATCCTAGTCGATTTTACTATCAACTGCAGGAATCTTTTTATTGGCGCTTTTGTAATATATATTCGTATTTTTGTTTGAATTTTCAGTCAGTTGTGTTATATGTCTGTGATGTATGTCTACACAGTCGTGCTGGATCTCAATTATTGTCACATTAACCAAATATGTATGTTTGGGGTGCTCACTCAATTTTGTCAATATAATGCAACTGTTAACAACTGTCATACAATAAGGATGTTTGCCACCAATAAAACTTGAGTTAACCCACAATTTTCCTAAGAACATGCTTGTACCAAGTCAGGAATATGACAATTGTTTTTTTTTTCACTCGTTTCGTTTGTTGATTGCGTTTGATTTTGTCATTTTTATGTGTTTTCCCCTTTTTGAATTTACCTTTAAGTTCGGATTTGTTTCTATACTTTTTCTCTACATATTATTAGTAACATAGTGTGCTAGTGACCTAATACGATATATATGGGGTCAGTAAATTCCATATGGGTGAGAGCGAAGCTCGAATCCCCATATGGAATTTAATGACCCCATATATATCGTATTAGGTCACTAGCACACTATGTAACGAATTTATCTTACCGACTATCTTAACATTTGGTATTTAGACTAGTGGCCTTTCAAAGTGATCAAGTCGTCAATGCCGTTAGTATTAAGAACCTACTTACATTGGTCTATAAAAAACAAATGCTAACAATAATAACTTGCTAGTTTTTTTAAATGTGTTTTAAGAATTCATTTCAATCGTTCATCATCAATTTTCGTTTTTAAGATTTTTCCTCAATACCGTATTGTTTAAATAAAGGGACGTAACTCCACTACTAACCGTGTATTGAAATAAGCCCCGCCTACTGACCTAATATGGAAAAACACGGTCTCCACGCGGTTGCTTTTAACCAATCATGTTACTAGAAATGTATAGGAGGTAAGATAAATTGTGTTACTTAAAAAAAAACGTTATTCTTCAACCCGATGTTTTTAATGCGTATTGATTAGGTTTTATCAATTTGTTGGAAGATGCAGAAATGAGAAAAATGTACCTTCTTTATTTGGTGGTAATGAGGTATAAAGATGTTTGTGTTTATTTTATTTTGAATAATGTAATGTGACTTATTTTATCGTCCGGTGATAGGCTCTTTTCATTTCATAGAATGTATTGTTATGATGGATAGATTATATAAGAAATTAATGTGAATTGCTACCATTCCTAGCTACGTTGTTAACATCAAAGTTTATCGATCAGAGTATACTCTACGTAGTGATCAGTGATTTGTAAAGCTTTTCCATTGATCTGACAGTTTGATTCCCATAAATCTAGAACGACAGGCCCAACAATTTCGTAATGAACCACCCCCAAGGGTGACTGGGGAATAGAAGTATGGTCACCATTGGTCTTCCTCCGACCGGCAGTAAAACCCGTGCTAAAGTGGGGCGTCCGTTTGGCTGTGCGGGATGTACAAATTTGCAGCCACGTCCGGTCAGAATGGGGACGTTAAATCCGATGCCTCGTGTAAAGAGAGTACCACGCTCTTTGCACGTTAAGAACCCTTGCAACAACTCTTTGAGGGGTCCGTAGGTGGCCTGTTGCAAGGCTAAATTTCTGTCCCTATCCAATATACCCTCATTTCCCGTGGCAGTCTAAATTTCTCCGACCATAATCCCTTAATCTATTACAGAACCTACCTATTGTATTTATTGTGAACTTGTTCTCGTCCTGAATATGCATGAAATATTTGCCACTGGACGTTAAGCAACCAACAATCAATCAATCGTAATGAACCACAACACAAGTTAAGGGAAGATAAACATGAGTGCACCTGCTGAAACGTCTAGCTGCTGTTATCATCCCTATTAAATTTAAAAGTCTATGAAAATGTTTACAACAGGTACGATAAGCAATGGTCATTGGTAATGAGGTCATGGTCTGGTCAACACTACCACATTGACATATACACCTTTTAATGTTCCAATACAAGAAATATAGTCGGCCTATAGCTAATATTATTAGAGCGAAACAGACATTCAAAACCAGGAACATTTTATATTAATCCATGGACCATAAAAATGAGGTCAAGTTAAGATGGACATGTAACTTTACAATCATATACAACATATAGCGTACGAACTGTTGCTAGTAATTTCTGAAATAGGCATTATTGTTTCAGAAAAAGGGTGAAGGTTTGGTACCATTAAAACGTTAAAACCCGCTGCATTTGTTTGCACCTGTCCTAAGTCAGGAATCTTATGTTTAGTAGTTGTCGTTTGTTGATGTGGTTCATAAGTGTTTCTCGTTTCTCGTTTTTTATATAGATTAGACCGTTGGTTTTCCCGTTTGAATGGTTTTACACTAGTAATTTTTGGGGCCTTTTATAGCTTACTGTTCGGTGTGAGCCAAGGATTCGTGTTGAAGACCGTACTTTGACCTATAAAGGTTTACTTTTATAAATTTTGACTTGGATGGAGAGTTGTCTCATTGGCACTCATACCACATCTTCTTATATCTATACACAATAAAAAATAAATATTAACCACTGAACCATGACAAAGAGGTCAAGGTAAGATGAACCATGGTAGACGGATAGGCAAACTTCAATGTCATTTGAGGGAACTAAATAATCCACCATTTTCTACATAAGAAAATGCCTGTACCAAGTCAGGAATATGACAGTTGGTATCCATTCGTTTAATGTGTTTGAGCTTTTTACCATTTGATTATGGACTTTCCGTTTTTGAATTTTCCTCGGAGTTCAGTTCAGTTTTAATGTTTACATCGTTTGACCTAAGCTGGGTGCATTATAAGACATTTAACCAAGTGTCATGGAAATATGATTAAATTTCATTTCAGTTCGGTATTTTTTTTAAATTTTACATTTTAAATCGTTTTCCAACAATCAAGCAATACTTACATTCGAAATGTTAATTCCTTATATTAAGTATAATGCTTTATGAGTTCATTGAAACAGATTCCTCTGTTGATGCATTGGATCTGTAAGAATTGTTCATGTCTAATTGTAACGAGCCTGCGTCTGCATAAAAGTGTAGTGCTAGATTTGAAGCGTAGACTCTAATGGAAACTGAATGTATATAAATTATCATTATTTGTAATTGTATATAGTAATTTAATATACATGGAATGCAATATCATAACGTATAACAAAGGCAACAATAGTATACCGGTGTTCAAAAGTCATCAATCGATTGAGAGAAAACAAATCAACAAACACAAACGCCAACACACACAGAAACTAACTATTTGACAACAACCGCCATATTCACTACTCAGCACAGGACATTCTAAGAAAAAAATGGTGGGTTGAACCTGGATTAATGGCTAGCCAAACCTCCCGCTTTATGACAATGTTAAAAAATATCGCTCAAATGACAACACTACGTGAGAGAAATTTCAGCACAAACACACGCAAGAACATTCATCACAGAAAAACGCACAAACAAACAATACAATATTTGACACAACATACAAACCGCAGAACAACAACGAACATATTCCATCAACGACAGACACCACATGATATCACAAACAATGACGCGCTTACTTAACTAACATGCAATCTCGAGTTTTATACAATTATTTTCACAATACTCGTCCAAAGAATTTTCATGACAATGTTGTTATGGAAAGGCAATTTTATAATTATTTGGACTACAAACGAAAAGACATAACAGATTATCAAACCGAAACCATGACAGAAACATCAACAATAAATACCTGAATGTTGAATGTACAAAATACCGAGACACGTCGTATAGCAATGCAAATTCCCACTCAGTTTAACAGTCATATTCGGGAATATGACAATGATGGTGTTGAAATGCAATTTTATAATTATTTTGACAACAAAATATAAGACATAACACATTACTCAACCGTAATCATAACAGACACATCAAAAATAAATACATTAATGTTGAATGTACAAAATACCGAGACACGTCGTATAGCAATGCAAATTCACACTTATTCGGGAATAGGTCACGTTCGGTAATTAGCAGACAGACGACAAAGATTTTAAACCACAATCTAAGAAGTGGTAAAAATGTTGTTAGTTAGTTTAGACACAGACACATCGTATAGATCAACTAATTCGTGATGGTGTCTATACAATTTACGGAGTGTCATTTTTAATCTTTATGTGTATAAAATCATAATTGGAAAAAAAAAATTTGTTTAGTAACTTTGGCCTCAAACACATATGTATATATACAAATGCATACAGAACTAATGTTTTATGTTGCAAAAATCAGTGTGTTATTTCTATATGCCATACAAGAGTAACACACGAGTATCTTGTAAAAATAAAGTTAAATCTTACTTTGAGTGCAAAATAAAGTCAACAGGAGTATACCGCTGTTCAATAGTCATAAAACGATTAAGCGAAAACAAATCCGGGTTACAAACTTAAAGTGAGGGAACATCATCAACTATAAGAGGAAAACGACATAACAACAGAAACAATGAACTGCAACAAAAAAAAAAAAACACCAACATACATAATTGGTTCATTTTTCAAAGAAAATAGTATACATTACACATAATACAAAGATGTTGTTTCAGTTTAAAATGATTGAAATTTTATCACGTTGTTTTAGTGTTGAATTTTATTTGTAAATACGTAATTTTGCTTTAAACTTGAGTAATAGTATATGAAGGGCCTTATGTCTAATTTAAAAAACTACTCGGCAAAAACATTTGAATTGGCTCTAGACATGATATAGTCTTTTTTTTAATAGTCCAATTTTTAAAAGGAAATACAAGTTCAATAATTGGCTTTTAAATATTCGGCTTTGAGTGTTCTTGATGAAGGAAAATCCAGAATTTCGCGTCGGACGCATGAACATTTAGAAATTACCCTTTTCCTTTTTTTCTTACTGTTCATAAGATTTGACAAAAAGTTAGGTTAAAAAAGAAAAATGATGTTATAGTAAACACATAGTCTTAACTTATGATTAAAGATGAGGAATGATTGCCAATTAGACAACTTTCCACTACGTTACAAATGTCGTAGATGTTAGCAGATTGTTTGTTTGTGAAATATTATTTTGACAGCTTTAATTGTATCTTATCTTATTTCGATTGCCTTGACTGGGACCTCTTCTTGAAATCTGTCCGTAATGATACCAAATGCTATAAACTGAGTGTGATACAACTTACCATAAAATTGTTCGTGTATTTGTTTGTTGGAGTTTGAAGCTTCGTTCAGTGATATTGGTTTTACATTGACAAACAGTTTTTTGTTGGTGGAGGAACCAGGAGTAAACAGACAGAACAACCGACTTTCTGGAAAATTGGCAATCTTTGTCAACTTAAAAGGAATTCAAATACACCTCACCCTGAGCATGTGTTATGCACACAAGTTATTAACTTAATCCATATGGACAGTTTCATCAAAAATGTGATTTATAAAAACGGTTTTGAAATTCATAAATCTCGAATGTTTGGGCAATGCTTTTGTTTGTACTGTATTTATATGACACAGTTTTTTATATCTCTGTTGGATAATACGAACATTGCAAGCTTTTTATTTCAGTTTAATGGTACTCCCTTACACGCAGCTGCTAGCGGTGGATTCATCAACATAGTTAAATTGTTATTACAAAGAGCAGATATAGATCCAAATAAAGAAAAGAGGTATGGGATGACGTTCTTTACAGGATTGTATACCTTTGTTTAATTTTCCATCAAAATCAAAGAAGAGGAACGCAAACAAATAAAAAAAAGATAGGGTATACATAGATTGGTCGGATGGTACAATTGTTTAATCGTTTGAGACATCAAAAACAAAGAAGGATGTTAGAATTACACATATCCTCATATATTTGGAAAAAAGAAAATGTTATATTATTTTCAATAAGACAACTTTCAACTACATAACAAATGACGTAAATGCTAGAAGATTGTCTGTTTCTGCTATATAATGTTGCCAGCTTTGAACATCATATCTTATTTCGATTGCCTTGACTGAGACCTCTTTCTTGACATCTGCCCGTAATGATACCAAATATTATTCTTTTAGTATGATACAACTTTCCATGATATTGTTCATGTATTTGTTTTGTTGAGTTTAAAGCCATGTTCAGGGATTTTTGTTATACCATGGCGACCAGTTTTTGTTGGTGGAGGAACCAGGAGTAAACAGACAGAATGACCGAATTTCTGGAAAACTGGCGATCTTTGTCAATTTAAAATGATGTTTAAATTAAACATTTCCTCATATATATATGGAAAAAAAGAAAATGGGATATTATTGCCAATGACACAACTTTCAACTACGTTACAAATGACGTAGATGCTAGCAGATTGTCTGTTTCTGCTATATATTTTTGATAGCTTTTAACATCATATCTTATTTCGATTGCCTTGACTGAGACCTTTTTCTTGAAATCTGCCAGTAATGACACCAACTGTTATATTATGAGTGTTATACAACTAACCATGTTCACAGTGTATATTCGGAACGCTTGCTTTCCGATCCAATCGACAGTAACGCTTGCTTTTCGATACGCGTAACGTTTGCTTTCAGGTTTATGTTGACGAAGAAGCAGGCGACAGGAAATGAGGTTGGACGATACTTAAATCGGATGGTAAATGCTGTTCTCTCGTGTATCTCACGGAACACTAGAGATATTTTTCTTGATAAAGATGTCAAGCGTGGCGTCATACGAATTTGTAATCATGTTGTAAACGATCCCACAAATCCTACTTAAATTTGCGCCTTGCTTGATCAGCAACGGTACATTTCACTCCAATAAAATATAGTGTAAAGATTAATGTTTCATTTAGGTTATCTAGTTTTTTCATACTTTATTCGAATGAAATATACGAAACACAAAAAAAAAAAAAAAAAACATACCACGAAATCCCGAAAATAACCACAAACAAATACAAACCATGAAAAACAAGGCATGGATCTATAATTGCTCCTACGTCCGTGTTCAAATTACATTTTTATAATTACTTTTGAAAGAAAAAAACCCACAATAAACGTGAAAAAAAATCTATGGCTACATCAACAAAATATTACATTAAAAAATATTGAACATACTGTGTCAACACCCGCAAAAGATTAATCGATTACTACAACAAATAATAGTGTTACCTAACCAAAGGTCTGAAAACAAACAAATCTGTAATGGTTCAATTACAGTATCAAAGTCCAATATGTAAACTTTCGTATTTTATAAAGAGATTCTTTAATTATGAACAACGGAATAGTCTAGAAATGTCGACAGATTTTGGGAAATGTGGGGAATCTATACAAAAAACAATCATATAATAAATGATAACCGCAACCACAATTATGCTTAAAAAAAAAACAATGCAGTGCATGTCTTTTGGACATATTTTGGTAAGAGGCGTTCATTCATGCAAAATTTCGCCCTGCAATTAATTGAAATACTTGCCACTGGACGTAAGCAACCATCAATCAATCAATCAATCGATGCCAAATTTAAAAAACAACATGTATAGCTTGCAATTTTGTATCAATGCTTGCAACTGCAAAAGATAGCGCTCAATAAGATGTTGATTTTATGGAATTATGTAAAAAATGGGTAGGGGGAACTTACTATTAACAAGTGGTAGGGATGAGTTGTTGAAATACGTCACTATTTCAAGCTTCCTAATCTCTATGTTCAGATAAAAAAATATCATTCAAAAAATATTGCACCCCGCCTTATAGATAACACAGATATGTCCGTAATCTTGAAATATTGCGTAATATAAAGATTTTCTACAATGAAATATGTTTGAACATACATAATTACTAGTACCATATTTGACTGAACTTGCACCCTTTCTTAAAGTAAGCGTTTCCTGAATCTCAAAGTAATCGTTACACATCGGTTTTTTTCAGAAAAACGGTAAATAAACACAATAATATCATTTGTGATTTTATAGTTTGTATCAAAATTATATATATCAACCCTATTAAGATAAAACTGCGTTGAGAAAAGTATGTAAATGTGAATGCCAGTTTTAAAATTTTGATATGTTTGGCTGCAAAGTCTATTTTACAAGATAGCGTAGTTCTGTTATAAACGAAATCACATTCATTAATCATTGTAAGATAAAATAAATAACGAACCTGAATTCCTGTATATTTGTTTTTTTTTGTCAACTTTAGTTTCATTCCAGAAAATTGATAAATTCATTTTTTTTTATTGTAGCAACATACTTTCTACCTTATCTGTAATTTTCTTGTACCAAATCGGATTGTAAGCGTTTCCGAAATCGGAAAGCAGGCATTACCCTCGATTTAATCAGAAAACAAGCGTTCTGAATATACGCCGTGATGTTATTGTTCACGTATTTGTTTTGTTGGAATATAAAGCTTCGTTCAGTGATATTGGTTATACAATGGCGACCAGTTTTTGTTGGTGGAGGAACCTGGAGTAAACAGACAGAGTAACCGACCTTCTGGAAAACAGGCAATTTTTGTCAATCTAAAAAGAATTCGAATTTTTTATTGCACTTCAGTGTTTTCTGTTGTTTCATTGTTTTCCTCTTATAGTTGATGTGTTTCCCTCGGCTTTAGTTTTCAACTCGGATTTGTTTTCTTTCAATCGATATATGACTTTTAAACGGCGGTATACTACTGTTGCTTTTATTTACAGTATGAGTGTAATACAATTTACCATAATTTTGTTCATTTATTTGTTTGTTGAGTTTGACGCCACGTACAGTAATGGCTATACAAAGGCGACCAGGTTTTGTTGGTGGAGGAAGTTGGAATAAACACACAGAACAACAGAACTTCTGGAAAACAGGCAAACTTTGTCAATGTAAATGGGATTCGAATACACATCATATGTTTTATGTACACAAGTTATTAACTAAATCCACATTTACATTTTCAACAATATTGCAATTAACAAAAACAGTTTGAAATTCATTAACTTCTCGAAATGTTTGTACTGTAATCATGTGAATGAATTGTTTTTGTTAGCTTTCATATGATGCAATGAGCAGTGCAAGCTTTTTAATTTCAGTATTATGGTGATACTCCCTTACACTCAGCTGCTAGTGGTGGACATCTCAACATAGTGCAATTGTTATTAGAAAGAACAGATATAGATCCAAATAAAGAAAATAAGGTATGGGATGACGTTCTTTACAGAATTGTCAAACTTTGTTGAATCTTTCATCAAAATCAATGTCAACTAATGTTGCTTATAAAATCTATACACATCTCGGCAAAATACTTTAATCTTTAGAGTGCGAAAAACGTTACGTATCCAAAATATTCGAAATGCCAAGACATTCTTATACCCAAATCATTGCGATTTTATAGGAATCAAAGATAATTAGTCAATTAAGATTCTTTTTCTAAGTTTAAGTTTATTTTATATTCCAATTGCACAGATACATTAAGAAGGATTTGTCATTTATGAACGCATGTATATACAACCACTGCTTATTTGAATAAAGTCTGAAAATGGGAATCCTTGGTGACTAAAGATGTAGTATTATTGCAAAAATATATTTACACAGTTAATTAAATTCACCAACAATTGAACATATGATTCCCATTCTAATACATTCCATGATGTAAAAACAACTGTTTTTAAACCTATAGAATAACGTCGTTTTTTTATTGTATCATATAAAACAGCAAAGATTAATCTTCTGCTTTTTTTATTATTGACCGAGTCTGATTAGAATCAAGCAATTTTGTTAAATTTGTTTTTAATAAAAAGATATAACCCATTAACCAATGATATATATATATATATTTCAAAGTGTTCTATTTATCGAATGTTTGACCTTAATTGTTATTGCTTTCCAGAAAATGAAATATGTTAGTCTGATGACAAAACCATATGACCTAGGTGATTTATTGTTTTACATCTTGAAAATTTCATTTACATTACATAATTTTCCTTAATTCACATGTTGAACTACTGCTAATTAATATCATAAAATATAATTATGATAAGGAAAGTTCTTTCTAAATGTCCATTTTACATCCATCACTTTTAGAATAAAAAATTAGAATACATTCTATGATGTATAATCAAATGCCTTTTAAACCTGATTAGATAAGATTTTATGATTTTATTAGATTTATGATATAATTAGATTGTATGATATAATTAGATTTTATGATATAATTAGATTTTATGATATAATTAAATTTTATCATATTTTTAGATTACCTCAGACTTTATTAAACGTCAGCAGCAAGTTGATGAACTAGGGTTATGTTAAAGAACGTCTCGTCCCTTTTCTAAAAATAATTAGCAGATAAATATTCCGTATCAACTTCACAAATGATACATGATGGTCTTGAAGTATAAAATTTAGGTACTGACGTTATTTATCATCTTAATTACGTTTTATATTGTTGAATAACTATTTTCCTGCCTAGATATGTTTTTTGGGGGGTGGAAAGACGTTCAATTATTCTCTGAACAATTGGTTTTTAATGGGTTTTTTTTCTTTCGCCTAAGTTGTTTCTTGCGCAGTATTGTTGTTTCAATAGTTGTCGCTTAGATATTTGGTATATAATATCGAACAGTTTATACGCTTTTAAATCTGATACTGTTTAACCGAACCCTTTACTTTGTAAGAGTTATTTCCCCGAACACCGTTCTCTTGTTCGGACTACTGCTTCGCAACCGTAAAAGATTACGACAAATTCATTCAACCAAATTGTTGTTATATCCTAAGGGTATGGAGAATAATTTTGACCGTAGAGATCCGGAGACTCCATATGAAAGTTATTTCCCCTTATGCATTTGATATAAGTGATATGCATTTGTAACCGGTAAACCATGAGTGATAAGTAAGGAAGTAAGTAAGTAAATTGTATTTCAAGTCGGCATATATATACATAATAACAGATAAAACAGGAGCTCTGGTGAGCTCTCTAACCGACTATCATATAAAAATCATATAGCTTCATGCAAATACTAATAAATGAAAAAAACAAAACAAAAATGCAAATATAATTAAAGCAAATTAATTTTGATTTCTGAATCTCCAGGGTCAATTCTCATTCGTCAAACACCTCTATGTGCATTAATTGAGGGAACCAGCAATCACTTAAATATCATAAAATACTAAAAAACTAAAAAGCATAAATAAATAAATAAATTAAGCACTGTCATTTAATAACAGCTATATACAAGTGCATACAAAAACAGAGCAAAAGGCCAGCAAGGAAAAAAGAAAAGAAAGAAATTTAAGCTATGAGGCAGCACTGGATGGAAACGGCATGAAATGCAGTTGCATTTTTGACACCACACCAGCAATTAATATATTTCCTAAATTGGTCAAAAGAGATCACAATTCAAGCCTCATTGGGAAGGGAATTCTATACTTGTGTTGCCTCAAATCTAAAAGATCTTTTACCATAACTTGAGATTCTAGGTCTAGGTACCTCAGCAGTGTTCACATACCTGAAATTATATGAATTGTTTTTTATAACAACTAGATCTTGAATAAATAAAAGACATTTTTTATTAATTATTTTAAAGATTTCCAAGGCATTTGAGCGTATTCTACTTGTTTTTAGTGATGGAAGGTTTGAAATCTGCAGTAGTGTTTCGTACGATTTCTGATGGTCTTCAAAAATAAAACAAAGCGCTCGTTCTTTTATTGTTTCTATTTTTATTGTATTTTGTTTCCCACAGAAATGCCAAGTCAAAGGGCAGTAAATAATGTTTGACATAACGAATCAGTAATAAATTTTAATTTTACTTAGCTTGTTTATGTGTTTCCCAATTCTTTTCAAAACGTTTAATTGCCTTGCAGCCTTTTTACAAATATTTGAAATATGTAAATTGAAGTTTGATTTAAAATCAATTGTAACTCCAAGTAGTTTTACCTCATCCTCACATGATATAGAAATACCACTCAAATCAAACACAAGCATTTTATCCTGTGTGTTTTTGCCAAAAGATATAGCTTGAAATTCCTCTGGGTTGGCCTGCATTTTATTTGAAGAAAACCACTGTATTAAATAATTGCTGTCTTCCTCAAGTGCAGAAATTACATCTTGTACGTAATTTCCAGACTTTGACAAAATATTGTCATCAGCATAAGCATATAAAGAATATTTTTGTTAACAAAAAAGAACAAATCATTTATAAATATATTAAATAGGATGGGTCCAAGGATGGAACATTTTGGTACCCCTTTAAATATGTCAAGCATACCATTTAAATTTTCGTTTAATTTCACACACTGTTTTCTTTTTGTTAAATAACTATATAACATATCAAGTGAGGATTTTGAAAGACCATAAGCTTTTAGTTTCAGTAGCAGTTAGTCATGGGGGAGACAGTCAAAAGCTTTTGACAAGTCCATCAGGATAGCTGCAAGGTATTAATTATGGTCTAGGGCTAATTTCCAATCTTCAATCACTCTTATTCAAGTTGACTGACATCCAAAGCCTGATCTAAAAGCTGCTAAAAAAAGATTGAAGATATTATTAAAGTACTGTATTAATTGTACTTCTATGGCATTTTCTAAATTTTAGAAATGGCCGGTAACATACTTTCCAGTCTATACTTTCCTTTTTCTAATACACTATTCTTTTTGTAAACAGGTGCAACTTGAGCTTAATTAAGATGCTCAGGGAAGGTTGATGACGATAATGATAAATTAACTATATCTGTAAGAGGTTTTACAATAGCATGTTTAGCAAAATGTAATAATTTGGGTGACATATCATCTATTCCGGTGGCTTTTTTAACATTAATTTTACGTAAACGTCCCTCAACAAAGTCTTGATCAATAGGGGAAAAGGTAAAACTGTTTTGGTCAAGATCGTAAAGATTATCTTTAATGGTCAAAATACTCGGGTGAACATCATCAACCTTTATTTGATTGCTTCCATTAATCTTGTCAACATTTAAACAATAGTTATTATCTTGTTTTGTAATTAAAACATTACTTTCAGAGAGGACAGTTTCCTTTTGGTGTACTTTACCTTTATTTGTAAGAAAGGGTTTCACTGTTGGCCAGAAATCTTTAGATTTGGGCCCCCAGCACAAAATATTGGTTAATAGACTTATTTTTTTAGTTTGTTTAACATAGTTACGTTGACGTCTATATGCTTCCCAGTTCTTACTACCACTGAATTATTTATTATACATAATTTTTTTTTTCTATAAATGGCACTTTTAAGCTCTGCATTCATATATGGTACCTGATTTGGAAATATTTGTCTTTTCTTCAAAGGTGCATGTTTGTCACTACCTCAATGAAACGTTTACTAAAATGATCATATGCTGCATTTACATTATCAAATTCAGATATATCAAAATTCTGATTTTCTAAATCTTTTTAAAAATTTGATGCATCAACATTCTTAAAACTATTGCGTATCTTCTTTTTGGTAAAATGTTTGGTAAGTCACAATTTAGCTGCACAGATATAAAGTTGTGCACATCACTAATTCTTGTACCAAAATTACATAGATATAAGAAGATGTGGTATGAGTGCCAATGAGACAACTCTCCATCCACGTCATAATTGGTAAAAGTAAATCATTATAGGTCAAAGTACGGCCTTCAACACGGAGCCTTGGCTCACATCGAACAGAAAGCTATAAAGGGCTTCAAAAATAACTATTGTAAAACCTTTCAAACAGGAACACCAACGGTCTAATCTATATATATCTATAAAAAAAAACGAGAAACGAGAAACACTAATGAACCACATCAACAAACGACAACCACTGAACATCAGGTTTCTGACTTAGGACAGGTGCAAACAAATGCAACGGGTTTAAACGTTTTATTAGGCGCAAATTTTCACCCTAACCTGAAACAATAGTGTAACATCACAACATAGAAAGACACACTATAAAATATCAATTGAAATGGCTTAACTTAATAATAAGACATATTAACAAAAAACAAGTGAACATACATTGAACGATAATTGTTTATCTATAGCACAGTGTAAATACAAAATTAATAAAAAAGGGGGTGACATATAAACAATATCAGAAAGACAACCATAACCTTGGACAAAATGCCGCCAAATAAAATAACGTACACAAGTAAATAAACCTAATTTTGTTGTAAGGTAAACATGGAGTACGGAAATATTGACAAAATAAATAATTTTGTTGTTCATAGTA